AAAAAAAAAAAAAAAAAAAAAAGTGGACATTTGGAAATAAATGCTCTCTTTCGCAAACCTACTGTGTCAAACTTGAGAGCCTGAGCCTCAGCTTAGTATTCCAAACCAAAACAAAATTTCAAGAAGAAAAATGAACAGAAAAGCAAACTAAACTAGGAAGCTGCCGAGGAAAGGAACGGTAGAAGTTTACAGTACTTGCTCTTGGCCTAGGCATGCCTTTGAGCCTCTGACATAACATGCTGGCCTGCTTTTGGGTGGGCGGAGGAGGCCCGGGAGCTGCTCAGGTTGGTGAAGACAGATGGTAAAAAAGCAAAGAGACAAAGTGACTTTCACAAAGATTGACAAGTAGGATGAGAAACTCTGAAAAAACCCCCACCAAACAAGCAAAAATGTAAAACACGAGTGGGGAGCCGCTGCTTTCTCGGCGTTACCGCCCCGATACTGGGTGGGCCTCCGACCAGGGCCACCAGCACCGCCCTACGGAGAGGAGACCCTAAGAGGATGAAGACACACACTAGAGACCTTTATCCAGACGGATGCACGTGAATGACGGTGGCAGCGAAACGGACCGAACAAGACACACTTTCCTACGGTGACGGCCGCCTGCTCCCAGAGGAGCGGGAGGGGACATGCAGTCGCGGTTGGAGACCCGCTTCTCACCCGCCCTGTGCCGCCCCACTTTCTACGGAACCCTGCACCCCCGCTTAGACCCCTCTGTGCTTCGGTTTCCTCATCTAGAATTTGAGAATACTCATGTCTTTTCGGTGTATGTGGCAGGGTTGCTGATAAGAGCAAATAAAACAAGGCTGGGGCCAGATCTCTGCGAAGCCCAAGGTGCCTGCAAATGCTGGCCGTCCCCTCTGGTGTGTGAGGAGGCGGGGGGGGCTGCTGGCAGGAGCCCACGAAGGGCCGTCGCTCGTTCGAGTGCGCTAGGGAAGATTCCTGCCCCCTTTGTGGAATTTCAACATGTCAAAATCTGTCATTTGGGGGGAAAATGTGTGGTATCTGATTGTTTCCAGCTCATTTAATTATTTTCAATTTGGAATTCGCGTGGCTTTTATATTGTGGGTTGAATCATATATAAAAACTTGCCAGCTTATCAAATATGTTACTTGCTATTCCAAATGTTAGAATGCCGTAATCAGCACTTGACCCATCTGTCATGTGGTTTACAATCTCAGCACAGCAAACATCCTGCAACAATAGCCACTCCCGCGACACGGGCACCGGGCCCCCTGGGCCCCCGGCTCCGTCGCTTCGAGGAGGCCGCGTTAACCTGGGACCTGCTCGTCCCCGCAGCCCCGCTCGTAAGGCAGCCGCGTGGTGAGGGGCACAGGCTCCACTGCCAAGTGTGCTTCTCGGTCTGCTTGAATTTTCTGCTGGGAAAATGATCTTTACTGCAGGCTTATAGGAAATGTAATTCTAGTGACATTAATAAAAATATCAGCAATAAGGATAAATATAATAATCTGGCAGAACTCTCTATTAAAAGCAAAAGTCGATGAAATCCTTTTCGTGTGGGGCTGCCTCGGTGTTTCGAATGCAGGGCTAAAAAAATTATTCACCAGTCTCCTCTTCTTAAATCTTTTGTTAGTGAAAGATTGTGTGTAAATAGAAT